CCTCCAAAATGTGATTCCCAATACACATATAACACATCTTCAACAGCTCATTTGGGTTACTAATCTCCCTCAAAGCCACGTCTGTCTCTTCAGTTATTAGTTTTTCCATAACTATCAGTCAAGATCACCCTGCGTCGTGAGGCACAATGAAATGCATCTTGCTTGGCTCCCACTCCGGCAGTAGGAAAACTTATCTTTTATCGCTTTCTCAAGTCCATCTCGCCCCACTGCGCCGGATCGGTTATCTCTGGGAGTCGTGTGGCATTGTGCGGGTGCGGGCGTGCAGTTGCGGATATAACATCGTGCGCCTACGGCTGCGTACTGCTCGCGGTGGTCGAGGGACATAGTGGGGTCGTGCGGACGCGAGTTACCCTGGGACTTCTATTGTATAACCCGACACCTTTGTTTGGCTTTGTGGGTGATCATCTCAAAGATATCTTGACTAGGATACCAAAATTCACAAGACTCTCAAAGTCGTATGCTATGTGATTCTTATGTGTCTTAGGCGTGTGGAAATCCCAAAAGAACGGGTGTAAATATAGGCTATAACAGGACCCTAATGAGGTGGTAAATATTAGCATCCCAAGTATGTAGCTAACTATGGGCCTCGTGCACTCTACTCTTGCTTAAATAATTTTTCAGTCCACTAAAAGTCCACTAAAGAAATATTATTGCATTCTTCATTTAGCTCCAAATTACATTTAATACTTCAATTGTAATTACTCGATTCACCTCTTGTGTTGAATATATAATATGCATCAATTAATTTATTACTAACAACATAATTAGTTAACTTCTTGAACCGAAACTAATACCACTCAAATTTTTATTATTATGTCGGAATTCAATCTGCTTGCTTGCAGGGCTTAAAATAATTATCCTTCTTGAGCTCACGTCGGGGACATCATCAGACTAAGGCACACAGTGACCGTAAATAATCAAACAACATACCATACCCACAATATAACTACCCATCTTACCTAGACTACTGATCCGATAGAATGGATTTCACATTTCAGTGAATCAAAGTAGCAACTACTGTATGTACGTGTTTGTTACTATCTTACGGGTTAAGTATACGCAGTAATTAATCAAGGTCTACATCGTTTACTTGGTCAGTATAAAACAAACTTGTCGTATCTAGAATCCGTTCAATACATCCAAGATCTACTAGTATAATTCATCAGTCAAGACCAACCGATCAAAATTACACTACAATCGTTTGCGATGGGTTTTTCATATCCATTTAAGTTGTGAGCCAATTATTTATGTTTTACAAGTAACTAATAATATGAACTTTCATTCATCCGTGATGAACCTAATTATCTAAATGTAAATAACGCAGAACTGCTTAATTAAACATGATTCTTATTCAATCATAAATAGTGTATATAACGCAGAAAGTCGAGCTTTTAGTTTATACTCTTAACACCTCCATCTTGTCCTCCACCTCCAAGGAATTCTATAACTCATTGATCGTCTTAATCGAATTGTAGAAAATATAGAGAGAGTCGTCTGGTTTGTTAAGGATGTAATTTCTACACAAGAAACCGTTGTAATGCCAAGCATTCGAGGTTGTACACTTTTGGATGTCGGTCTCACTTTCGGGGATGATCAAAAGGTCCTCCGAAAAAAAAAAAAAAAAACAAGAGAGGGAGAGTTGTGAGGTAGAAAAGTATCTTTTATTGCCACATCTTAAAATCAGAGTCAACTTCGGCGGTCTCTAGCCTTTGACGGGAGCGACTACCATTGGGGTGAATGGATTAGTAGCTGGTGAAGCGGTTGGTTTAATACTTGAAGAAGACGTTTGGTTTCCTTCGGATGACATCTTATGAACTTACAAAAATTTGTCTTAATATTGTAGTTTATTGTGGTTGTGAAGATCAAAACGATGACTTAAGGACAACGAAGAAAAAAGAAAGGCAAAATCAAAATTGACGCATATAATAGTTACGTTCTCCTTAAGACGAAATTGCCCCGTAAAATACACATGATTAATGCAAACACCTCCAAGATATAACAACTTTTGACTTGTATATAGTAGTATTTCAAATATACAAGCATTCAACGAATAATACTATTGTTCTCAATACTCAACAAAAAATATATCAAAGAAAACGATATGATTTATAAACTTTGAAAGTGTAATGCTAGAGCTCTTTAATTTTTATGTAAGTATTTAATGATTCAACAATGTGGGTGTTAATAGATGTGGAATACACTTCCAAGAGCTTAAGGCTCAAAAGACACCTTTACGGGCGAATCTCATCGGAAACAGATGCAACCAAGCTCTTGGTTGCGAACAAGTGCGACCTAGGGTCGCGCCGTGACGAGGGCCGTGCCTCTTGTCGCTCCGTGACAGGACCTGGCTGTCATCGCGTCGTGACAATCATTGCTCCGTGACATGACCTAGCTGTCGTCGCGCCGTGACAGTCGTTGCTCCGCGACATGACCTGGCGCGCACTTGCGCCCAAATGTCATACACACTTGTCCAAATTCGAAATCATGTTCTATTTTTCCTACTCGTCCCAAACAAACCCTTCTATAGTTCTAACTTAAATAATGCATGATTATAGCCCGTTTAACTTGTCTAAACATTTGTCAAAGACAAAATGTTTACGAGTCCTACAATCTTTGAATTACTTAAACTCAGTTATTCGACATATATCACTTAGAATTAATTTTTCATTCAACGAAAAATGGTTTTGAGATACTTTTAAGTCTTCTATTTACGAAAAATGGCATTATGGTCTATACAAAACCAATTTTTCTTACAAATAGCATTATGGTCTATGTTTCAAACACCAGGTTACCATTATAAAATTCGACAACACGCCAAGTAATATTGCTAGTACAAACCCAACACTGCAAAACAACATTGGATGCCAGTAGCTTTTAAGACCGATCAACAGTACGACTCTGAATCACTTCCATTTCTTGAACCTCATGAACTTGTGCTTCCCGAACATACCGTGCTTCCAGCGCTTTCCAAACTTACCATGCTTGAACTTTCCGTGCTTGAACTTGCCATGGTGGCCATAAAACCCGCCATGATGGTGGTACCCGCCGTGCGCCAAATGGTGGGCCCCATATGCTGCTGCAGCTGCCGCCGCCCCTCCAGCTAGCATTGTCGGAAAATGGCCTGCAATATTTGTTTGTTATATAGTTTTCACTTGGAACATAGTAGTAGTAGATTAAGGCAACACATAAGGACATGACACAGCAACTCAATTCAGTGATTTCTCCAAGTGAGTTCAGGTATATATTTGTCTTGTGATTACCTATACTATTAAAGGACATTAAGGTAACACCAAACATTAGCAATCCTAATGCAGAACTCTGAAAAAACAAAAGTTCTACATCTGTAACACCTCCTCATAATGCATTTTAATTTTTAGCTAATTCCAGAGCATTCCTTAACTTGTGAAATTTGTGCATAGCTTAGACATTGATGCCATCTTTTTGCAGAAATAACAAAAGTTGTAACTAAATTTATGTAAGGATAACATATGAGACATCCCAATACAAGCCCGATTACCCCTTTCACTTGTAACATCCCAAACAAGACATCACACCTGCGATTTAGGGGACGTCCAATTAGAAATTTAAAAAAGAACTGCATTGATCCTACTTATGAAAGCATTGGACAACCCATAGGTCTAACCACGAGATATATCGTCATCAATCACCATGCTTTGCACACATACATGCCCATTTAGAGGAAAAAAAAAAAAAAACTCGACCCACAAAGGAAAATTCCAACAAGAACAGGATTACAAGGTGGCGATGAGCAATGTTTATTGCTAAGTATGACAGGACAAGAAATGTACATAAACATAACATGTGATTGGATGCAGCAAACAGAGATGAAATATAATGTGTGATTAACTTTGACGAATTAATAAAGAGATACCTGGAAGATGAGACGAGCTGGGATAACCCGCCGGATGGTATCCTTGCGGGGGAGGGTATCCAGCAGGTGGATATCCTGCCGGAGGATAACCAGCTGGTGAGTATCCTGCTGGAGGATAACCGGCTGGTGAGTATCCTGCCGGAGGATAACCAGCGGGAGGATATCCAGCTGGTGGGGGAGGATAACCAGCAGGTGGGGGAGGATAACCAGCAGGTGGGGGAGGATATCCATGGGGAGGATAATGCCCGGCTCCAGCTGCATAGGCCGCAAGGTGAGAAAACATTCCCTTTTCACGACTCTCAGGATTCTCCTGTCCACCTCCCATCTTTCACTCAAAACTACACGGGCCGTGACCAAACAGAGGACCGATAAAAATCACGAATTAGAAAACAAAATATCCAACACCTTTACCATTATTATGATGCTTGACATACACAAAATAACAACACAAGGAAGGATTAATATTTGGAAGGGCAGAATGCATACTTTTGAGTTCTCTATTATACGTATCAGATTCAATCAAAATGATCATAAGAACCATTTCATTTCATCTCTAACTAAAGATAATTCTCAATTCAAGTTTACAACAGCTTTTAATAAGCAACAAAAAAATAATTTGATCATTATTCACGAGGGCAACTTATCTAAAACAATAAATAATTGGGGGGAAATGCTACGGTCCCGGAACCATTCCGTTGAGGTTTGTAATCCATAGATCAACTATCCCAAC